CTGCTCTCTGGGAACAGGCTTGGCCGTTTCGTCAAACGATACATCGGGAAAAAAGAAACTGTTGTTACCTGATGGACGTCACGAACACCAAGAGATTATTAAAATACCGTGTTTGTTCTCATTTGAAGCCTCCGTGCAAAATTTCATCTCACCGATATACATATATATATGCATTATACAAGGCGAACTGAGTTAGCGTTGAACGTATGAAGCAATTAACGTTTCGTACGTACATATGTAATAATCGAATATTAATCGAATCGAATTGCGGAATTTAAACAACTAGATAATCTCGTGGAACGCTTGTGATTCATGGATTTGGCAGTCGAGTAGCTTTTGGTAATTAATTGGCTGTTTAGGAAATGGAACGAGAACGATTTCGCGGCGGGGGCGACGATAGTAAACGTTATAATTACGCGAGGCAATTTTTTTCCCAGGATCAGCGCTCTACTCGAAATTTTCCGAAGGGCACCGAATGGAACCCTTTAATTTCTCAATTGAATCTCCGTAGTGGCAGTTTCGCGGATGGCTCCTTTGTATGTACGCAGAAGTGTCGTGAAAATGAATCGGAGTAACGTCGAACGTGATTATACTCTTTGAAGGAAATAATTCCGAGAAAATTATTCGAATAGAAAACGATTGCAACAAACGAATCGTCGCGATTGATCTTCTTGAGACGACGCGTACCGGTCCGAACTGAACAACTGGCGAGGATATCCGAAGGAATCGGTTCACTTTCTGACTCGATGGAAATTATCATCGAAGCGGTATCACTTTTCCGAACACAGTTCTACTCCGCGGGATTCGGTTGTCGTTTATATTTTGAATTGTTCATCGCGAGAAATGAAGAAGGGGGAGGGCCGCTGTATATTCAAAAGAACAAAGTCACAAACGTTTTATACTTCCACGAGGAGAGGCTCGAGCACGCTGAGATCGATTCTCTCCGTCCTCGATTACACCGCCCTGTGCTCTCTGTCTCGATCTAAGTCCCCGGGTAGCTTTTCCCCTACAGAGCAACGTCTCGAAACGTCCACAGACAACTCTCCCTACACTCATACCCATTCACAGATGTCTCTTACGCACGACACTTAATTCAACTAATCCTAACCCTAGAACCACATACGTTAGTGAGCGATCGGGTGTCCACAATGAAAGCACCTGGACAATCCCGTAGGACATTTTAAGCTCGATGCTCAGCACATCCACAGAGTTCTTTCTCCGGACGAGCGAGAAAAAAGCGTCTGGGAGAAGAAAGCGGCTGATCACGACGACGATACCTTTTCCCGGATCTCCGCCAGCTCGCGATTAGAGGGGTTTTGGGGGTTTGGGTGGGATTTGATCACAACACACAAAGTTCGAACGAACGCGTTAATACCTGGGCCGGCTAAACTCTCGCTTTTAGATTAAAACCGTACATCGAGAGGCCACTGTATTCATCGTCCAAGGATATATATTCATCATGAGCACCAACAAGCTCCTGACGACCTCTCGATCGATGAGCTCCCGTCGAACGTGGCCATTCTTTCACACGATGACGTCGAGGATGAACCCGAGGTGACGTCGTCCACCTCGAGTACACTCTCTCTCCGAACACTCGGTGGCTCCTGCCAGCTGGTTAACAGGTTCCCCCAGCTGGCTCCACCGGTAGACAGGTAGGCTAGAAGGAGTAGAATGAGGCACCCACCTAGGCACCTGCCACTTCCAGGGTCGACGATAGCGCAACCGCTCGTCTGGTTCTCGGTCGTTGGTCCTTGCACTTCCGGATGCGACACGCGTTCTACCTGCTGGCTACCTGTCCATGGATCGCCCTCTGTGTCCACGCCGTTGTCGTGCCTCGCGCCAATCGCCGTGTTGTCGTCCTCCTGGCTAGCGACCTCCTGGTTCACCGGTGGCAGCGGTTTGTCCTTGTCCAGCTCGTCGTCGAACTCCAGAGACGTCTCCGTGCCGTAGAACACTAGCTTGAACTCTTCCAGCGTGTCTGGAACATTATTCGGTGCTTTCAGTTTTTCTTTTTAGGGGTCACTACAGGTGAATCGCCTTTATGAAACGGAGACGAGCTTTGAATTTTTTCGACTTTTAGAAGAAACTGCTCTATAGGGTCATTGTGATCGTTAGAAGCTGCATCTCCTTTTCACTTGCGACTAATTCGAACAGGAAATGATAAATGTGCGTATACGAAATGAAAATATTGCTTTTACGGGAGTTTGAGAAGTTTTTGAAGTTACGTTAGGATCTTCTACTTGCATTTTTTTGAATAATTGTACGAGGTTCGTGCAGTAGAATATTCCTTGTTGAAGAACTAGAAATACATACGTTATCGCTCGTAAGTGTTTACTTCCTGATTTGTTTGACAGTCTTTCAAAAAATTCTTTCGCATTTTCGAGTGAAATGAGGTAAGCAGATGGGTAAATACGTATGAGCGACAGTGTATAAGTAATTAAGGTCTTATAAATAATGAATACGAAACACATATGAGCATGCTGAAAATCAAAATTTCGAAAATGTTCAACATCTTTCAAAATGCTAGTAGTGATGTTAAAATATGGGAACACGCATGAATAGATCCATCTGTGTGTGCATCATACACTGGAAAGTAGTTGTAATAGAACATAAAATAACGTTAATTATTCCGAGTTATTATTTGCATAATAAATAATTCTTATTTTCTCATTCTTTTTTATATAAATAATAACTCACATGTAGACATATAAAAATTGTAAATAAATAATCTATCGATGGAGGATAATATATTGTATACGTCTTGAATAAGTATGAAAGCAAGAGGAATACGTAATAAACGACTGTCATCGGAAAAAGTGGGAAATCAATTATATTTTAAGCATGCTAACATAAAAAATGTTCTATTTCAAAACAATATTTGTTGCGCTATGCACAGAGTACATTTTCTAGCAATAACTGTGTGTACAAAGTAATTACGTGATTTACAAAGTAAACTGGAACGTGCTTGATTAAATGTGGAAAATCGAAATAAATTTAATCCGGTGGAAATTATTCACGGTTTTCAACCTTCGTTTCATGGAATAATTTCATAATTACACATGAAAAATACTCTTCAAATATGTGTCGGGTGAGAAACTCCATCGGAAGAAAGTCTAATTAAAATTTCAGTATTCGACGTTACGCGGATTTTAATTCTTGTTTTTCTTGCAGATACAGAGCGTACGAAAAAAAAAAGAAAGAAGAAAAAGTATATCAAACTATAATTTCTTTTCCAATATTTTCCCGCGGATTTCAAGCAAATCCAAGGAAACAAAGATTTATCACGCGCAAATTCTTTTTCTACATCCGCGAAATAGTAGGACGAAGTAAAAATCATTAATTAGAAGGAAGTAAAAGCTCTTCAGAGTCGTTTATATTTTCAGCACGATTTATCTGTGCTTCATTTATCTATCTTGACGAAATCCCATTCGCAACGACGATAAACGATCGGAAATAATTTGCAGCAATTTGCACACTGAACTGCCGCCTTAATGCTTTTCCGCGAGAAATGACAGGATATTAATGACAGAGAGCTTTCAATAGTTTCGCAAAGTTGAAAATGTTACCGCAAAGATTGAATCGAGATTAAAAACTGTCGATACCGTACAGTGACTTCAATCACAATTTTCATTTCCTTTTATTATTGTCGCAGAAAGTTGTTCCATCGACAATTCAATCGACTGATAATCAAAAACGAACGACACATTAATTTACCCGTATTACAAAATTCGTTTTCGTCAATCTGATTGGTTTCTCTTTGATAACGATATTTGTCGATATACAGGGTGCCCCAGTTTTTCTCACTTACGTTGCAGATATTCGACGAATTTCGGTAACAGTGTACATGTTGGATAAATTTTTCAGAAAATTTCGAAACGTCAGAAACGCGAACAAATGCTCGCGATTCGAAAGCCGAAAATGTCTTCCTAATGTCACCGCCGACTAACGATAGATATCTGCCTCCGTTTCACGTGCCGCGAAGTGCACTTTGCATTATCCACACATACAAATACGTGTGGCATCTATGTTCAGTCACGTGAACAATCATGTTTCATCCATGCAGCCAGTTAGTACCCGGTGCACGTGTTTCGAGGCGTAGTCTTAAAAAGACGGCGACAGTGAAACGGAGGAGGTGAGGAGATCCTCGATGTCGTTGGCATCGGGAAATTAATAAAGTGACACGGCGACGTTGGCTGGAAAATTTCGTTCTCACCTTAAAGAACGATAAATAGGTCACGACGAAGCAGATAAGAATGGTGAACGATTGTACGAGTAGTGTTAATAATTTCTTGTGATTCACTGTATTACTGTTGTATCGATAATAGCAAATTTAAAGATACGAACTGTGCCTTTATAGGAGTCCCACGTTTTTGGACATTGAAAACTGGTCAATTTTTGCGAGCGATTGGAAGAAAAACTGTTAGGCCGATTGGTTTCATTCTTTTTGCAGAATAAAAGTACATGTTTACAGAGTAGAAAATATGAATGAAAAATTGAAAATTATTAGAAATGCGGCGTCTGCGTGCAATGGCACAAAAATGGTCCTTTTGGTACCGCCCGAAATTCTCTGCACGATTCAGTCCACACAAATGACCAGAAACAAAAATCTTCGACTTTTTAACACTCTTTGCGATCATAGTTCCGGGCTTTCTTCAGAAAAAAAAAATTGCGTCAATGGTAACAATTTGAAAAAAAGTGACTTTCATTTAGTGACATTAAATAATTCCGCGACTTCTTATTTATTTCCAATTTAATGTCTAGATATATGTCGTTTGTAGTTCATATTTTTTTTCCTCTCCTGGTGTCAGGTGATCATAAATTTCCGCCCATTGGTGATAATAAAATCGATATTAAACTTTCCTTGTACACGGAGACGTATGGCGGCTGTAAAGTATCCAGGCATCATAACGCCTAAGGATATTTTATGAAGTGCCGGAGAAAATAACTTCAAGGTAGAATGGACATGTTAGAGGCCAGCCGGAAAACGGATATCGTTATTACTGTTATAAAAGCTGGACATGATCTGCGGATTATCCTTGCTGTCTACTTCTTATAGATTTCGCCTGAATATTGTACACACGTTAAAACAGATTTTCCGGGCTCAAAGAGAGGCAACAGTGTTTCTTTACACGGTGTACCATAAATCAGGAGTACTATCTTAAAAAAAAAAAAAAAAAAAAAAAATGAACTTAAACTGTGAATGAAATTTGCAAGATCCACGAGTAACTATTCTCAGTCTGTTTCACTGTGGTCGATGTGATATTCCCAAAAATTAGTCAGTTTCCGAGAACGTAGTTGTACCAAGAAATTAACATTGTTTGTGTAATGTGTGCCGTTTAAAGCATACTTCTACTAAACACACATTTTCATGCATGCAAGCGAATCTCTGAGGGCAAGCATTACCTGCAGTGAAGTCATTGGAAGTTTTGATTAAACGGTATAAGCTTGTGTGGTGCGGCTACTTTAACTGCTCTAACAACTTTACGGTTATGATACTTTTAAGGAGTTCATGATCGTTACACAACAACAGACTTTCTTCTAATACGATTAATAAGTACGTCAAATAAACACATGCAATCAAAATTCCTTGAAAAATGTTTCATTAGCTGTGAGACTGATGTGAACCGAGTATTGGAAATAATAATTAAACCGAAGTATAAATTACGTTGAAAATGACATGCTCGTAAATTTACAATTGTCTCGATTAGTTGTAAATTTGAAGAAATTTAGATTTGTGTCATTTCGAGTAAATATATCCGTCTATTGATCTCACGACGAAGATGAAAGAAACACCGCTGTAAGATAAAATTCACGAAAACATCGAGAAATGATCTCACAGGATTCACAGGAACAAGCAATACAAAATCAAGACACACGAACAAACTCGACGACAATTGTACTGGAATGCAATTACGGTGACTGCAGAGAGCAACAGTATGGACAAAGAAGCAGGGGTACAAGACACTAAATTGTAATAAAATTCACTTAATTCTGTAACTTTACACATGGATGCACTTCCGTCTTACACATCTTACTACTGATAAGAGATACAGCAAGAGAAACTGCATGTAACGCGCATCCGTGGATGTCCACATACATGCAAAACACTGTACCATTTACCGCGCGGGACTAGCAACCGTAAATCCTCCCTTGAAACAACAAGAAACAATCGTTGCCGGGTTACCAAGAATCTCGTCTCGGCTGTTAGAAAATCATCCACGGATAGCTCATTACAACAAACGTAAATCCACGTGAAGGAAAGCAGAATACCCTTATCCAAGTTCTTCGAATCGAACTGCTCGTCCTGGAGCAAATCCAGACCCTTAGCTCTGGTCGCGTGTTGTCCAGCTCCCCTTACGCCGGCATAGACAGGATAGAGTGGATAGAGTTGTTGAATTTTAGGGTACTGTTGAAAAATAGCTGGCACGTTGTTGATGTCAGGTTTCGCCGCTGGCTCCAAGAGGATCAGACCTCTCTGAAGCGACGAAGCGGTGACTATGTTCAGGATTCTTTGCTTGTTCGTCACTTTAGCGGTTGGAATCGTCGTAGGGGGATTGGTCTGAGTGATTGCAGTAGTGATCGGGCTCGGTGTACTTCTCCCTCGTGGTCCGGACGTAATTAGGCGAACTTCTCCAGCGACGTTTGGCCCTCTGGCCACGGTCAACCCTCTCAACGTTTGCACCGTGGGTTTCGGTGTAGGTTTATTGGCCGATTTGCCGTTTTTGTGCTGACCACGCGCTTTGCCTTTCCTCTGAGACTGTATCTGCGCGTTCACCACGTAAGGAGGACTGAGATTCCCGGTTTTCTCGGACTTGTGTTGAGCCTGCTTGCTCTTAGAGCTCGTAAGCGAGTTCTGCGCCTTCGAGAACGCGGTCTCGCGTGGTTTCACGATGGGCCTTCTAGGGCTCTTCATGCCGGCAGGATTGTACAACGCGTATTCGGTGCGATCGGGCAGCGTGGACGTTCCGTAGAAGATCAACGCCCATTCGTGTAGAGTCGCACGTCCTGATGGTTGTTCGTTGTTCGTCAGGACAGGAGGCAGCAGGAAATCGGAGAGCTCCATTATAGTTTGAATAACGATTAACGATTAATAAATAACATGATAAGAAAAGAAAGAAAAAGGAACAAAGTATTTTAGCTTGCGACTGTTTCGAACTTCTCGTCGCAATTGATCTATTTCACGTGGAAAACGTTTCCACCTGAATCCCACCTGTTTCTTTCACGTTCGAATAAGCTCGAAACCTGGGTACACGGATAATTCCACGGGGAGACGTTACGTAGTCGAGGTTATCAGTGGTCGGGGATTAGAAAATCATCAACGACCAACAGGTGCATCTGCCGGGTAACACAATATTGTGCTTGGACAACGACAACGAAGCGGATCTCGAGGCAATGTACAGGGAATGAACGCAAACACGACGTGTAATAGCTCGAATACCTGTACCTGGAATGTACCCTCCGTATTACGTGGAATAATAGAGCAAGGTTCTATCTTGAGCCTGGATACACCAGGATACTACAAGGGCGCACAGTGAGTACAAGTTCGCGTTAACTCGAACTTTATCCACATATCAGCTTTAACAGGCTTCTAACTTCAAGTGGTTCTGACGGTTCCACCCTGCACAAGGTCAACTTCCCCTAGTGGTTCATGAGATCCGTTGGCTGTTGAATGGCATCGCAAGGGAACACGCTTCGAATATGGAATTATGCCCTTGGGAGGTGATGCAGCAGCTTACGTGCTCCCACGTGCACGGTTTACGAGAATTCCCTTTATGTCCTCGAAGATGAGACGATAAGGTAGCAGATGGCTATCGCTGCTTGGTCTAGGCGTTAGAATCTAGAGAATTGATGGTAAACTCTGTCACCTTGGGCTCGTGTTTTGCCGAAAATTTGGACTCGAAGTGAAACGACTGATTGTCAGATTACGAGAATGTACAAGAAAGATTGTGCTTGTAATTTGTTGAAAAATTCTGAACGTGTTGTCTTTTTTCCATATTTTACCAGCAAGGATTTGTCAATTAGGCGTGTTTCTTTTTTTCTCCTATAGTTTCCTAGTTGTTTCGTTGCACTATGTCACATTAATAACGATGAAGATGACGTTGTACAAACACCTGTACTGTGCGTTGCTGAGAAGATGACTAGATTCGTGGACGTTTTCGCATTTGGTAGATAACGACAATGGGTGTGCCCGATTTTTACGATTGTATTAGAGAAGATGTCTTCTCAGGTCATCCTCTCAGCAACGCGCAGTACCTTGAATACACGATACGTACAAAAGATATTGCTTGGAGGACTTGGTATGCACGAGTATAAGATGCAACGATATACCATTCAAGGACAAATTTTATGTAATGAAGTTTACGCAGCTATCAGCTTTAATGGGTCTGTAGAAGCAGCCTAAAGTGGTCTTAACACTCGCAAGGCCATTTGCTTTTCTGAGTGAGTAAAAGCTATCTCACTGAAAGCAAATTACCGGTTCAGAATCATCTGAAAGAAACTCGATGAACTTTGCCATTCAACGATTAATGTTAGTGCACGTTCTATCGAATTTCGGGATACAATTAGAATAACTACAATTACTTGCCAATTTCTGTCTAAAAAAATTGAATTCAACACATTCTCCAGGAAAGTGGAATATTTGAAAGATTTCTCACTGTTGCCTGTTGCGTGTTACATTTCGGTTGGTTAAAAAAGAGAAGTCTGAAGTACTTATTGGTCATTGGCCAAAATCTTGCATTTCGAATGTGCAAAGTTTGGGACAAACGTGTCTTCGATAAATTAGAAATTTGCAGGAAGTTAATTTTATGCTGTTTTCAATTTTGAAAAATACCGATGTATAAGATCGAACATTTCGTAGATATTTTAATTGCAGCTCGATGAATATTAATATTTCGGCAAGAGATGTTACGTGATATGAAGCTGCATGAAAGGCTTGATACGAATGGGGTTATATTGAACGTATCTGGAAACGTACGCGATGAAAAGAAGGAACAAAAAGTAGCCGTACAATGGACTTACCTTGATATCGACCCTCATTGTGGATTTCAAGTTTCCACGTGCCGTGTGGCCTTTCTCCCCAAGTGTGAACCGACATAAATGGCCATTGATTGAAACCAGCCTTCGAGACGTCGTGCGGCCTTTTTGCGAGGAGAGTGCTCTTCGTACCTTGCGGTGAAGTTAGCTGTATCTGTAGATCTCCTCTTCTCGAGGCCATCAATGAAACCTTCGCCTATGATAAGCGCATTGGACGAATAATTGTTAAGAGAGAATGTTTATTCGATCGTTTCGGTTGTTCGAACAGAGGTTAAAACTTTGTACGAAAGTGTGAGATTTATCGCGAAAAAATGATACAGAAATAATTTCTGCACTGAGGGGATTCACCACTCTGAGGTGTCTAAAAATTGGTAAAATTTTGGAATTCTTTCACAGGTAACTACTAAATTAAAAGTTTCAAATTTTTTCGGGATTACTTATACTTTTTAAATATAATTTTTTCAGCTTTAATAAACTGTGTACAATGTGAATAATCGTGATATTGTTGCTGTTTACGATGTTTACGTATGAGAAGTGTATCTTTCACAGGGACATTTAAGATGATTCTTTACATTACCGTGATTAAAGTCTTTCTAAGGGAAAGCTATTAATTTCCTTATTACACTCATGAGAGTGATATAGTACTTACTTGCACGTGTTCGAGAAAATTAACGCCGCTACACTCCTTGACATGCAATTCCAGACTTAGTTGGCTCTTTGGCGGTATTGGCCTGTGGCACACGTAAAATTTAGGTCATTCGCAGAAACGAAACACGAAGTCGCTCCAAATTCTTACGTTCGAAATTCTTATTTCATCAGTTTCTATTAAGAAAATTATCATATCGTGCGAGTTATTTTTATTGCCGATAAAGCTCCACCGTTTTGGCAGCGAAATCGTCTGTATTAAATTAGGTGCACGCGTTGCAGAAGCTATTTCCTCAGGATCGGTTTATCGTCATCACGGTCGCGCAAAATGAGCCGTACGTGGCGAAAATAGTGATAGATCGTATGGCATCGTCACGTTTCCTATGGTCATTTATTTCACAAAAGTGCTGGTCTCTAAATTGTATTTGACTTTTTTGCCGGTGACATAAGGCTCAATACGCTGCTCGCTCCTTTATCACGAGAAAGCAATTTTTCTTTTTTATTTTGTTGAACTATCGAGGATACTTGTAATTAAACAGTTACGACAGGAGAATTATTTTTTGGAACGAACCTGCCCGTGTGTGATGCCAAAACTTCACATTTGTGCTGTTCTGGTACCGTTCTCCATCTTCTGGCTAAACGCACCATGGCGGTGGCATCCATCAGTCCATAGCCGAAACTATGACTCACTGAAGAGAAATTCGAACATGGTTAAAGGAACATGTAACACTCTAAGAATTTTTTAATTCAAAGACTAACGATTTTTATAATTTTGAAGTAACGAAACTAGCTAATCCTTGGGAAAAGTGTATAGAATCGTGCGAGAATGATGCATTATTTGTTCAAGAAACACCAGAGAACCTAATATTTGATTTAAAAGTAATCTTCTATTTTCTGAATTTCTGAAGTTAGAATAACGTATGCAGTTTTGCAATTCAATTCAACTCACCGTTCCTTCCAACGCCGTTGGTCACCCAGTCCGGAGCCTTTAAGTTCGCAGGTTTCGCGGTTCTCACGACGATGTGCTGCATGTCCCTCCAAGTGAGCTCTTTGTTCGCTTGGAGTGCAAGGGCGCAGATACCAGCAGCCAAAGGTGCCGATGCAGATGTACCCGTGTGACTGCTCGTGCAAAGATGATGCAGGTCAGTGGTTACCACTTGTTTCTCTCCCGATGAACCGGAACTATAGGTGGTGGCGAGAGTCGACGAACAGGCTTCGCTGTACCAAGGCACCTGACCATTTTCCGTCGCACTGCTGATGGACAGTGTCCAGATACTGTTCGTATAACCGTCGCAGTTGCAGTTGTCGTGATCCCTGCCACCATTTCCCGACGCCCAGACGAAAATTGACCCCTTACCGTTGCGACCCTGACGATCAAAGCGACGAATTTAACCGGGCGCCACGCGTTTCGTCAAAGAACCTTTCACAGGGCGTTGGAAAGGTTCGATTGGTCGCTTCATCTTAAGTGAACGCTTTTAAGCTACGGTAACAAGTGGATTTTCATGTACAGTAGGACTGCGTATATCGCGATTAAAAAATTGCTACTGCTCCCATATAATGGGATCAAAAAGAAAAGGAGCCATAAATTTTGAATTTTGGAATTTCGGTTAATTAAATTTGGCTCAAAATGTGACGTCCGTGGAACTTAATTTGTATTATATTTCCCGCGTTGTAGGAGGTCCTACTGTAATTTTTACCGGTTTTAAAAGGATAAGTGGTCAAGAGAAATGCTAGATTTATTCGTGACAAGTGTTTGGTAATTTTTTCTTTTTTTTTTTAATTGTGCAACTGTGTAGGAAAGTTATTAGCGTGTTAAATTTTGTATGAACGTCGGAGAAGAATTTATCTGTAAATTTCTAATCCAAAGTGTAATTGTAGAGTGCAATTCACGTCCTTGTCAGGATGTTACCAAGGTTCTTCGATTTCTTTCGAACTCTCACTTTCGCGAACTTTCCATCTTTTGTCTCGCGATTTTCTTCAAGCTCTGCAGAGAATAACTATTTCTGGCGACCAGACGAAACGCGAGTTTGAACGAACGTTCTACAGAATTTTCCACCGCTTTCCTTACTTTTATCTATTTCTATTTCCTCCCTTCCGTTTCGGCAGTATAAACAGAAAGTTCTCTCCATTCAAGCTCTCAGTTTTTCTGCTGTAATACTAGATCTCGCTACAGTAAAGTTTGGAAAATGTATCAAGTGTGAGGAACACGTTTCATCTCATTCGCCTTAATTCAACTGCAAATTGATAACGTTTGTCCCGATGAATGATCAAATACCGATA